ACGTTGAATGTACAAAAATGTAATATTATCTCATTTCATCGCTAGCTGAAACCAGTGGCATTCAACTATACGATAAATCACCAACTTCTGCAACGTGTGGACAATGTTCGTGACCTAGGAATCACGCTGGACTGCGCCTTAACATTCAAGCTTCATTACTCGGGCATCGTTGCGAAAGCTAACAGGCAACTTGGGTTCATTTTCAAGATCGCTGACGAGTTTCGCGATCCTGCTTGTCTAAAAGCTCTATACTGCTCTCTAGTGCGATCGATCTTGGAATTCAGCTCGGTAGTATGGTGCCCGTATCAAGCAGTTTGGATAGCGAGGATTGAATCTGTACAAAGGAAATTTGTTCGGTATGCCTTTCGTCACCTTCCTTGGAATGACCCTGTGAACCTTCCGCCGTACGAAGATCGTTGTTAACTCCTGGGTCTTGAAACACTAGAACATAGGCGGACGATTAGTCAGGCCGTGTTCGCAGCGAAAGTACTTATTGGTGATATCGACTCTCCAGGAATCTTGGCTGGATTCGAAATCTACGCATCCGAACGAGTTCTTCGGTCGAGGAGTTTCCTGCATCTTGGACCTCGTGCTTGCATGACCCAATACGTTTCATGTCTGGGCGTTTCAACGAGTTTTACGAGTTTTTCGACTTCAACTGTGCAGCGGAAACCTTTCGTCACCGTATTCAACGCAGACTTCTGAGAAGGCTAGTAGCTGTCCATTTAATGAACACGTGAAGGATTGCGCTACCTGTTTATTTTTTTTTGTTTCCGGTTCAACTGCATGACGAGGACTTCTACCTGATTCACGGACAACTCTATGCCATAGGAGGATAACTTTTTTATGCTATAGACTTGATTAATGTTCGTTGTAATTGTATTGTATTGTATTATTGTGATTCATGTATTTCGAAAAGATATGGGGTTTTTACGCCTTTTCTAGGCTTTTCCCCATCAGGCTTCATTTGGACACGTTAAGTCCGATGAAGAAAAACAAAATAAATAAATAAATAAATAAAAAATATCAATATGGGTCATTCCAGCTCAGGGTACAGAATTTAAAAAAAGTTGTAGTCGATGTCACCAATTTGAGCCAAATTTGGCCAAAACGGTTATTTTGGAATTCTGAACAAACGCCTTTTTTGATTTTGCTCTAAAGTGCCTAGGTTACAACCCTGGATATTTGAGATTTTTAAAAATTTCAACTTTCAGAAGAGATTACTCCACAACCAAATAAGCTATCACGAATAGCTGAAGGTTTCCCAATGTTGAAAACCTTTTCTTATGTCTCAGGCAAATTTTGTGTTCTGAGCACAAGCACAACTTACTACTTGTTTTGTTTTTGCAAGACTAAAAATATATACTAATACTAATTATAAATCTGCAACTGTTTTCTATGCGTAGCTTTAAATGCGTAGAAGAAGAACATGACAGTTACGTTCATGAATGAAGAGTGTGTTTTCAAAAAATGAAAAATAAAGGTACAACGTTTATTTTTCTTTATAACTATAATAAAAAAAAGTATTCTTGCTCGTGAGATTAATTACTGAAATAAGGGTATTATCCAAGTAGCAGCTGTCATCCACAACTGTAATTATATATACCTGCTAATCTATCTGATTTCATCGTACTTCACGTTTTGGCTGTATCCCATAGGAACGTATTTTTCACTTTTAGGACCACAATTCAATTATGGACAAAAGTAAATCAATGAGGTAGTTATGATTTCATAGACTGAGAATCCAGCCAAGAACATGTGAAAAATAACATAAAAATATTATTGTGCCATCAGCGTGAAGGAATTCAAGAAAAAATTAAAATATGTTAAATAGCATTGTTTTTTCACCAGAAAAGCTCAAAACTACCTCTCACTCATCTGGCCATGTCTCAAAAACTATTTGTCCAAATCTTTTCCCCTTGGAAACACATAAAGTAAAAGAGTTTTCCAAAGTAAGGTGAAAATTTGAGCCCAAAATATTAAGAAACAAAAAATCCCGCCCATGGTTTCGATACTTGCCGGTAATCAATCTGTTTACTGTAGTTTAGTTACTATAACAAAAACAATTTTTTTTGCACATATAAGAATCTACACTAAAAAACCTTCAAGTTGACGTTCTAAGATCACGAAAAGCTTATTTGGTTATGGAGTAATCTCTTCTGAAAGTTGAAATTTTTAAAAATCTTGGAAATCCAGGGTTGTAGCCCATAAGTATCTAGGCACTTTAGTGCAAAATCAAAAACGGCTTTTGTTCAGTTTTGGCTCAAATCGGTGACATCGACCACAGGTGGTGAGATGGAATGACCCATGTGATCCATATTTTCAGTAAAATTTAGCAACACAAGTGTAAAAATGTACCGCCAAATATCTAATAAATGAGCATTGAAATTGTAAGAATTACCCATACACATATTGCAAATGATACATAAAACATTCAGCAATGAACCTTAAACTTATGAAAGGGATCCATAGACAATCAAGTTGGCGATCTTAAAAATATAGACATGATCCATAAATTAGACCTATACTGTTCATGTCTTGGACTAGTGATAGACTCTTTTGATTTTGTTCCATAAACCTTCAAAAGTTGTTCCACTACTACGTAATAACTTAGATTTACTGACATACCTGTGTTTTTTTTAAGTAAGAAGCGCAAAGCGACGGGTAAGCGTCTAGAATTAGCTTCCAAAAAAGCTTCTACCTAATAATCTAATCTAATCTAAAATCTTTTTAACACTCTGAGCACGATGCCTGTGGTCAAATGTGTAACGGCAAACTTGTAATTTATGAAAAATCATAACTCAGCTATTTATTGACGAATTTCAAATCTATTGGCGCTACTTGAAACTAAAGATTTTTTAAATTTATTCGGTATGACTAGGTTTAAAATCGATCGAAAAATTGCTGCTTAATGATTTTTCAAACATTACCAATTTTCCGTTACACAATTTACCGGTTGCATCGTGTTCGGAGTGTTAAGAAGCATCATAGGGAATATTTTTTAGAAGCTTATTTTAGATGCTTATTCTAGATGCTAACAAAAAAAAAAAAAAAAAAAAAAACACGAGCAGAACAGTAAATCAGAGTAGCTACGTAGTAATGGGGCAATTTTCTTAGGTTAATAGATCAGATTAAAAAAAAGTAGTGTCCAAAGCATGAACAATATTGTTCTTATTTATGGATCGTGCCTATATTTTTAAGTTGGCAAGCTTGATTTTCTATGGATAACTTCCATTAGTTTGAGGTTCATTGCTGAATGTTTTATGGATCATTTGCAATATGTTTGTATGTGTTAGTATTGATTAGTTATACTACCCGGCATATTATTTTCATGCTTAGAACACGCTTAAGAATCCTTTTGGAATATTTCAAGGTCATTTGGAACCGCGGTTAAAAAGTTACAGTTGTGTCCACCCTTTGGTATGATATTTTGTAAGGTTCCAAACAAATTCCCGATAACTTCCCGGTTTTCCCAATTCTTTTCGATTTCCAGGTAGTGACCAACCTGAACTTCATTGCGAAATGTTTGCCATACTAATTTAAAACAAGTGTCTAGACCAAATCATTTACGAGAAAACAATGTTTAAATCTAGCTTTTTACGGACCACTCGAAGTAGCTTGGTAAAAACCAGAATGGTGTAGGCATGAATAATTTATTCCACATAAATACGGCTTCCAGATCATTGGAATGGATTGTAATTCAACAACCGTTTGGAAAAAGTTAAATGCTTGTAATTGTAATGAAAAAACAAATATTGTGCCATATTCAATATTTCACACATCGTCCGCGATGTACACAGCAATCGATTCGTTCAATAAGCTGTAGCTTTGCCTCAAGGCAGTTGATCTGATGAATATTAACAATTTAAGATTTTTTACATAAGAGTGTGCTGCAATTATTTCAGTTTACGATCATTGTTCACCTAACGAAAATATGTCATGTGTGGAATAATGAAAATTGCCATCCACCATTTATTTCAAGGTCCATCTAATTTCCCTCATTATCGTTACTTTTTCCGTCCCACCCATATCAAGCTATTTACGACTAATTGACAGTTTAGCTGTGGCCTAACAAGCGCTGCCATTATCGGTAACAGGAAACCAGCTACCATCTACCTGGCTTAGTAGTGGCAATCAGAATCCATAATTTCCGTACGCGTGCCACAAGGACGAGTACAATGTCCCTTAAATGAATGTGTAAGGAAATAAAAGCACGACTTCCTGGGATTCAACAACCCAAACTAACACAAACGCACAATAATGTTGCTACCTGCGTCTAAATTAGACAGGGGATGAGTTGGTTTACCTACTAGGGAAAGGTAAACAGACGGTTAGAAGTTGCCCTGAGGAGGTGGTGAATATAATCTAACCGAACTCGCGTAGGAAACCGGGGGAGGATATATTAAACATTTATTATTCCGTGCGTCTTTTTTGTGTCGTTTCGACTCAAAATGTGGCGCCTGTAGGTGGATAATGAAGAATAAGCGCGGATAATTGAGTTTGCAGCAAGTTCCGGCGACGTGAATCTAGTTTACTTCATATATGAATTTCTGGGAGCGCAATCTTCCAACCGTGAAAAAACGCTTCCTTTCAGTCAACTTCTGGAACCACCTTTTTCCCTCCATTAGATTTTCTTCCTACCGGGTTTACCCAGGCAAACGGCGGCGTCGTCGTCGTCGGTTTCCTTTCAACAATGGAGCCTTAATTTTCACCAGCAGTGGCAAACAGAGAAAAAACAGCGGGAATAATAAACTTCCGGTTTGGCTAATCGTTTCACTTTGGTGGGCACCTTTTGCAATGTGTTCTCTCCCTTCGGTTGCGAACTTTGGTTCGAAAAAAAAGGAGGGTGGCTGTTTCGCTTCTTGCGGAATCAATATCGCTTTTGCATCTTTCGCTTGTTTTCTCTGTGAATCGTTAATGATTTGCAAATATTGGTATTATATTGAAATTCGCACGATTTTTAGACGGTATCTTTGATTCCCTGGCAAAAAAAAACTTACACTTTTTGTTGAACGTAGCACTTTCCAAGGGGGGACCGCACACTGATTGGACCAAACTCTTGCGGGAATGACACGAAAATAGAACTGGAAAACTGATTGTTAGGCACGTTTTTCTTTCTCAGCACTGCTGAGGCACTCGAAGAATTGATTTTCTTTGCTCTTTGAACTCGACAGATGCGAATTGAGACACGGTTTCTTTTCTTCTAGAATCGTTCCTCTAAGATAGCGAGGAGAAATCGTTGGTCCTTTCAGTAGGTCATCAAAATACTTCTTCCTCTACAATGTGTTTCACTGCACCAAAGAACTGCTGGTAACAATTACATAAAACTCACACTGATTGCCACTTGAGTTCCAGTGGGCAAAGAAGTAAGGAGCGATCCACTTGCGGCAGCAAAAGAAAAATACACACGCGTGTCAAGAGTTACATCACTTTCTGAGGACTTTCCTCTCACTACATTCCCTTGTGGGATTCAAACTCAAAAACCACTCCGAAAGCAGGCCCAAACTGCTGTACAACTTTTATTTTTACTTGCCCACGTCGCGTTGATGGAATTCTAAGCCTTCTGATGGACGAATTTTACTCGCTAACTTTAATTTCAACCAAATCCTTGGGACGTGCCAATGGAGACCGGCTCACACTCCCAACAACCAGCCCGATGTTGTAATGTTTCCTAATAAATCACCAAAGGGACAGCCCAACTTTTCACAACGCCACACCGCACCACGGAAAAAGCTCAAACACTGAAAAAAATCCGAAGCTGCTTACAAGAGACTACTCTCAAACACACACCTCACACTCTTTAGGTAAAACTTTGGTGGATCCGCGTAACAGCAGCAGCCCAATGCGGTTCAAATCTTTTCCTCGACTGATAGTCTACTCGGTTTACACAGGACTTCTATGCTGTTCGGCTGGTTGGCTGTCGATCGGTCGGAGTTGTCGGAGTCCCCGAGTGGCACACTACTAACACACTTCATCCATATAGGGGGGGCATTCCGCGTGTTGTGGCTATAAAGGATAATACCTACAACAAGAACGAAGCAGCAAGGAGCATGCGCACCTGCTGCCAGCAAGGTCCTGGCTGTCGGTTTGGTTTGACGTTTTCCGAATGGGGGACATAAGGACGGGAGTCAAGGTGGCCTGTGATGTATCGGATGACAACAGACCGAAGACAGTTGGGGTTGTGTGCAGTGGTTTCGATCGAACGGCAGCTCGTGGGATTTGTGCTGGTGTTGAATGTATGCAATATGCAATTGGTGCGAGGTTGCCAGAATGTAAGACTTTTAGAGTAATAATGTTGCGGAAGCTTTGCAGATGTTGAAAGAACTTTCATGTTATTTTTTTTGACGTAGGACTACGTCTTTGATTTCTATATGGAGGTACACTTTGTGAAAACCGAAAATGGAACATGTAACAAATTAAGAAAGATTTTGAACGTTAATAACTCAGCTGCCCCTGGTCCAATTTCAATAGTTTTATCACCAATCGATCAGAAATATGAGTACGCATCGATAACAATGCTTCCGAATGTTGATTTTCAACAAGAAACTATTGAAAAACTGGTAAATGTCCAGCATTGTCCAAAAGCGACGAATTAACTTACAAATCCACCAATTACCTACATGCATATGCTGCTTCCCCAGCACAGTCGTCAGAGAGTAGTAAGTAGACGAAACAAGTCGAAGTGGCATTCGCCTCCGATCCTCGGGCGCGTGCGAATAGGGAGGATGGAATTGCGTTATATTTTGCACACTCATCACTATATTCAGAACCAAAAGCAAATTCTTCGAGATAACCACCATCCGTCGTCTGGCTCGCCGTGGCTGTGTCTGACGTATCTCCGGTCTGATTTACGAGGTGTGCTGAAGGTGACCATGTGACAAATTTACTCATCGCTGAGTTCCTGCACTTTTGGCGATTATTAGTGAACTAAACTCAAAAAGAAAAGAGCCAGTATCGCTACTTGATAGCAAACTACTCATAATGGGAGGAGTCTTTGTAACTATTATACCACTTGGTTGCCCGTGAGATGTACGCCGAGATTTGAAGTATGATCATTCTTTAGCTAATAAATTATCACACTAAAGCTTCATGTTAGATAGCATTTCCCACCAACTCTGATATGTTGTTCAGCAAAGATATAGCTGAGTTAATTTTAATAACTTTGTGTGAGAAGCATTGATTCAATCTCTTAACATTTTCATTTTTGATCATTTAAAAATAATGAAAATTTCTAAATTCTACATTTTTTTTTTTCGAGATTTGTGACTTAAACATCTTTGGGATCCTAAAAGATTACAAAAAACAGATGGGAAATGAACGAGTCTGTCTCTGAAAACTACGATGATTAAACAAAAAAAAATCGCATTTATTTTTCAACAATCTGCGGCTCAAAATAAATGAGAAATTTAAAGATCCATGATTTAAAAAAAAAAACATATATATAACGGGCCCTGGACAATTTTCAGGGGTTTTAAATTTAAATAGCTTGATCTGTTTTCCGTCGACCTGGACCCTACCTATCGACCCATCAACTCATGGACCGGGAAGCAACGCGTGATCAAAGGTTTTATGTTATTTTATGAAAATCCCTGTGGCACCGACTGGGATTGAACCCAGGCCTTTTGGGGCGAGAGACAATTACGCTTAGTACAACATCATCGGCGCTTGATTAAAATTTAAATAATTTTACATTTTGGAATTTTGAGGAGAATACAAAAAGAATCAAAGTGCTAAGGTATTCAGAAGATAAATTCAATGGAGTACTGAGGAAGATTTATGAGAAAACTTCAAGGGAATTTCGAGAAAAATACAAAACAAATTGTATTCTGAGGCAATTTTAAACTTAAATTTTTTGACCAGAAGGCAAGAGATCTCCGGATGTTGCGAAAATGATGAAAAAACTACAAGGGGCTGTACGCATTGGTGACGTAGGACTACGTGGTCTTCTATAATAAATGTTATTTGTTAACTGCAGCAGTATAAAAAAATGTGTTCATACTCTTCAGTATGACTAAGATTGCCCTGAAAAGAACCTTTTGATATGATGTATAGTTGGGCAGTTGGGACTAGCCTTGATAGTTAGCTGTTTGGCGGGAAGCGTTTCGTTATGTACTGGAGAACACCACTACTCACCACGTGGTGAATGAATGAAAACTGTTTGATGAGACCGAATGGAATTCATCTATTAAATCCGTGTTAGGGAAAGCACTTTCTGCAGGCAAACGGTGATAATTTTAATTACAATATCAACAGTTGCACATTCATGCAATTTTAAACGTGACATTTTGAAAAATTATAGCCTTAATATTTTAAAAATCTGTTGAAATAGAAAAATTTCTATCGATTAGCGTATTGAGAATTAAAATTCATCATCTCTGGATCAAAATCTGACCACTTTGATGCCGCGACTGACTTTGGTTTTTGAAATTGCACCCCCAATGTTGCCTTAATGAATGTTAGCTTTAAACATATGGGAACTGACATCCGACTGATGATCTTGGCAAATGTCAAAAAAAATACTCCTTAAAAAATGTGTGGTGGTCCTTAAAAGGACCGTTTTGTCGTGATGGTTGAGTAATGCTGGGCTATTAGTGTGTTAAATACAAAGCCTCATTAGGATGAGCTATACATATGTTGTTTGGAAAGAGGGTGACGCACTTGGCATAGATGGCCGACAGCGCCCCTCCTGCTATGGATGCTAATGTGGGCTGCAGCTCGCTTCTTGCAGGCTGCAGCCTTTCGTTGTATACTGGAGAACAATATTCAACGCCACGCGCCGAAAGCACTGCTGCTGATGCCGACGCCCGGACACCACCACACTCGGTGGTTGGAACTGAATCCGATCAGCGATTGAGGGCAGCTTTGATAGCTTGCTGCTTGCGGAGAGCCTTTCGTTGTGTACTGGAGAACACCACCACTCACCACGCGGTGATTGAATAAAGACCGTTTGGTGAGACCGGATGGAATTTAACTTTGAAATCCGTGTTAGGGAAATCGCTTTTCGCAGGCAATCGGTGATACTTCTAATTATCATAGCAACAGTTGCACATTCGTGCAATTTTCAATAGTTAAATTTTGAAATGATAAAGTCTTAAATGAAAACAGATGCGTAGAAATATTTCCGATCGATTGGTGATAAAATTATTGAAATTGGTCCAGGGGCAACTGAGTTATTAACGTTCAAAATGTTTCATAATTTTGTTACATGTTCCATTTTCGGTTTTCACAAACATCAAACATCCCGATTTAACGAGGCGCTTCTTCCATCAGAATAAGCAATTTAACGAGCAAACAAAATTAACAGAAGACTAGTTTCACGTAAAAGTTGAAAAAAAAGTTATTGAATAAAAAAAAACTTTTATTTAGGGAGAAAGAGCCCCCTTGAATTCTAAAAATTGCTATAGAAAAATAATCATTAGCTTTACCACTATAGTTTTCTCAGCAAAGTTTATTTTTGATTACATAATCTACAACGTTATGGATGGTTCCATCACGATTGAATTAGAAATAAAAATGTTAAATTTTTATTTTTTGTCAATTTACTATTGTTAGGGAAACTAGAATACATAATTGTGTGGAGAAATGAGTGACCACGATCATCTGTATGTATGCAGATTATATTCTACCTACATATACGAGAAATAGGCACGATAGGCTATCAGTGATGTGCTCTCGCAGCATCACTTGTAAATATAGATAGGAGAATAGCCAGTTAGCTCCCAGCCGCCGACGGTACCGGTATCGATTTAGTTTGATTGTATTGTTTAAATACAGTCCACTTGCTTAGAATAATAAATGCATTTAGTAGTACGTAGAATAAAATTATTGGTTAGTAATATATCGCACCGCTGTTACAGAGTTGTTAAAGTGCATAATCCGACCTAGCTATTCGCGGGTGCGAATTACCCAACAACTATTCAAAAACTTTTATCGATTTAAAGGTCAAACTATAAACATCAACTTCATGGAAGACACTAGAGATTTTCACGACTGGTTGAATTGATGCGATATGTCAGAGCATGGTAGTGAAAATCCTAGGAAAATACATAATAGCCAGCTGTCAAACTCATTGTGACAGATCTAATTTCAATCATTTTTTAGGATAGTAAAAGGAAAATAATAAACAACATTACACGGTGATGCACATGCTAGTGTGCGTGCGTTAAACGTCACTACTTGCGCACTGGCAACCAGGCTTGAACATACTCATTACAGCTAAAATTCTACTTTTCTCAATTATGAAGCTATGAGATATGTATTATAATAATAATTTTTATATGTAAGATGCAAGAAGAGGAGGTATAGTTTGCGTCGATTTCACATCCAGAGTGTCATAATTAGCGATTAGTTATAATGAATAACGTTTGCATTTAAAAAAAAATGGTCAAAAATTGTCGATTTTTCATGGGTTTACCTTCACTCGCACTGACGAAACTACCCATGCCGCATCAATCATAGTAACCCATGAGTCAACAGACAAAATTTGCACTATCAGTTGAACTCTAACCGTGATGGCAAAAACAGTGAAGCAACTCCGTTCAGAAGTGTGCGCGTTCAAAGAACGGCACCCCGCCGCGTCGAAAACGGACATCGTGCGGCACTTCGTGGACGCCGGATACGCCCGTTCCGGCATCTACAACATCTTGGAACTATTAGACAACAATCAGAGCATCGAAAGAAAGCCCGGTTCCGGACGGCCGACGACCCTGAGTGACAAGAAGCTCCAAAGGATGTTGAAGAGGAAGACCGAGGGAAAAGTGGCTACATCGCTGCGTGCGCTTGGCCGGGAGGTCGGTACAACCGGCCAAACAGTGAAAAAGTACCTGGTGAACATGAACATACATGTCAGGAAGCGGAAGTCACGTCCACTGGTTT